ATACACTCCATACCATCACAATATAAAGACGCTACTTTACATGTTTTTTTATTTTCAAAATCTTTAAAACGTATATTAGAAAATTTGAGAGTTTTATTTCCATCTGTTTTGAAATTAAGAAGCATAGAGTTTAAATAATAATAACACCTCTTTGATACAGTAATAGATATATTAAATTGGAATGTTGTTTCATTAATCCATTTAGAATCTTCATTAAAACCAGTACTTATGCATGGAGGGTATGTAACAAGAGAATGATCAGTTTCATGATTATACCCTCCCCATTCGTATGAAGTTAAGTTCCATTCTGCATCAGAAGTTCCTTCTATTCTTAACTCTCTATAAGCCATAACAAAATTAAATACTGTTGTTGCATAAGAAATAAGAGATGCTTTTCCATCAATAGAATGTAAAATTAATCCATTATTAATAACTTCTTCATCTGTTAATTTTACAAATCCAGTAGGCTGTAATTCAACAAAGTGCCATTGAAAAACCCATAAAATATCAGTATATCCATCATAAGTATAAACTTTGGAAGTAGAGGAGAATTGACATAAAGTATGAGGGGTAGAAGTAAAACGTTGATCAAGTAAATATTTTTTACTACCAAGATTCATTTTATTTATTTTAAGTATTTTATTAGTAATTGAAACTATTTGAAAAGATACAATTTTATCTTTAAACGGAATTTCAAAATAATATCCATTTTGAAAATATTCTACCCCATTATAAATAATTTTCTCTACAATATCATTAGAATTAACTACTGCTACTGTAGAAATTCCTTTTTCTTCTTTAAGAATATGAATTGATGGAAAAACAGTAAATAAACAAGTTGCTTCTGAAATAGTTATTTGTGTGAATTGAGTATTTGACCAAGGAGTAGTTGTAGCAGCAATTTTAAAAAATTCATAATCACTTACTACTGCATGGTCTTGAATTTCGTATAATGGAGAATCTTTATCTGTAACATTAAAAAACCCTACAATAATACAATGAATCTCAGTAAGTGATGGACCAACCATATTAATACAACTCCCACACTTAGAAATAAGTCTTTCTCCTTTTTTTTTAAACATCATTCCAGAATGAACATAACATTCTCTTTTCATTTCTTTTCCAATCATCCGTATTCCATTTGCTATTAGTTCTGTATCACAGTCATATGTTTTAAGAGAAGAATTTTTAATTAACTCATTCTCACTATTAAGAAGAACTAATTTATTCTATGACGTTATTTTAGTTTTTTATTCTTTAAAATATGCTTGTCAATAAAAAAATATAACAAACTACACAAGGACCAGATTCTGCATTTGAATATAAAATAAATAAAAATATCCAACAGATAACTAAAAAGGTCATTGAAGTGGTATAAAAAGAGTTCTTTATTTCTTATTTATTTTATCTAAAAAAGGAATATAAGATAATAAAGAAATTCGTTTTAAATAGAATGTTTTTCTAAAATATTTCAATGTTTTTTTATTTAAACTTGGTGTTTTATTGTAAAAAAGCTACTGACAGATTTAAACTTTGGGTACAATAATGGACATATTAAATGTATTTTTTAAATAAATAAATAGTATCTAATGATTTTTAAAGAAATTAAGAGATTTTTAAATTATTTTAGATATTTAAATTTAATAAAATTTTAAAGGTTTTTTAAATAATTGAAGTATAAAAAATTAATCCCTTTAATTTTAAATTAACTTTTCTTTGTTTTCTAATTTTGTTCAAAGAATTTCTTCATATTTAGTAATCTATTTGCATCTTCTTTTTTAGATGCATTGACTGCCATAGCAATTACTGAACCCTTTGGGTCAACTTCAAGTACTCGTTCAATTAAACAACCTTCATCATTTGGTGTAAATTTCATTCCAAATAATTTAACACCTCTAACATACTTCTTTCCAACGGTATCACATTTTGGATAATTAATAGAATTACTTACAATATAAAAACTTCCATTTTCTTCATAATCAATTAAAACTGAAACAAATTCTCTTGCTGCAACAGGCCATGGTGCAGAATTTACTTGTTTAGTAACTTTAAGGTGTTCATTAATTGTTTCAAGAACTTCTGATTCAACAAGTTCTTTATCATATTTATGACTAGTAGCAAAATCAGCACTTTTAACTTTATTAAACATATCTTCTGCTTTTAATTTTGATTGTGTCACTGTCTTAATAAAATGATGATTATTTATTGATGGTTTATCATAAACAGTAACTTCCCCTTTCGTTGTTTCAGTCCATCCATTTGATAATACCTCTGTAAACCATTTCTTAGCTGCTTCACCTGCAGCTTCAAATTCTTGTTGATTTGAACATGTTTTAAGTTCTTCTATAGTAGCAGACATATTACTTTACATTCCTAGTCTAATAAACATCTATTAAATATTGTTTTATTTCTTCAAAGATCTTTGATCATCGATAGTCATTTGTGTCACATTTTTATTTAGCGATTCCTTTCAATAAAACATATTAATTTTTTTACTATTTACCATCATATTCTTTCTCAAATAAAAAAAAATTCATCACCATTGAGAATTTTATTAATAACAATTTAAAAACTAATTAATTAAATGGCATTATAATTTATCATTTGGTATTCTTTAGAGATTAATCGTCTTATTGTCTTTTATTAATTAGAGTATATGTATATTTTAAGATTATACCTATTTTATTTAATAACATTTATTTATCCTTTTAATTAGATTATTATTTAGATTTGTTTTATTAAAACACTTTGATATTTATTTTACAATTTTAATTTAATACATTAACTATTTAAAATTTATTTGACAATTATAAGTGTGTTATACCATTTTATTATTTACTATGTTAAAGTTATTATTTGTATTATTTATTTATTTTATTTTTGTTATTCATTCTTTTTATACTTGTCATAGATTATTTTTTTCATTTCATTTAATGTTTTTATTCGTGTCCACCTGTTATTTATTATTGCTGATATCGTTCAATAATACTAACAATACGATAGTAATTATTGTGTGATATAATAAATGATATTAGAATATAACTTATCATATTTACATTGTTTAAATGTTCTTTTTTATATTTCTAATCAATTTTAATATTATTTTATAGTATTTTTAGTATAGCCCAGAAATCTTTTTTTTAATACAAAAATACAACCAATTTTGTTGTCTATGTTATTAAATAATGTTCTTGTGTAAAAGCAAACAAGATATAAAATTCAAGAAGATACAGAAAATTAATTTTAGTAATAATAAAAGAAATAATAAAAATGGTAAAAGAAGTTAAATAAAAAAGTGAATAAAAGAAAAATAAGAAAAGAGAAATAAATAGAAGGTACGAATAAATATAATGTTAGTAAGGACAACATCAATAAGAAAATAGAATAATACTAGAGACTGAAATTAAAGTAGAAATAGTAAAGTAGTTAATTAAGTATTAATAGAAATATCTTCTATTGTTCCTTGCTCAGGGGAGACTACTAATCCCGTCCCTTCGCTTAAAAGTATTTGTTCTTCAACTATTGCCTTATTCTTTGCTTTTAGTTGTTGAACTGTGAGAACTTTCTTTTCTCATTTTTGATGTGGAATAGAGTATTTAAACATCCCTTATTTAAACATTCATTATTTAATTTCTTTTTAATTTTGATGGGTTTAAATTTCTTCTTCTTTGGGTTTAGACTTCTTCTTTTTTATTTTCTTATTTTAAGGAGAATATATAATTACTACTTATTGCTTTGGGCTAATATTCTTTTAGCCTCATCCACTTGACCCTTTTCTTTTGATAATCTTTCTTATATTATCAAATATACTTGTATTCTAACAAGTAATAATAACATCTCTATAAATACCCATTCGTTTATTGTCAATGATATTCTGTCATTGTACATAATAAACACTGCTATTCTTGCAGTACCGGGTAAGATGTTTTTCTAACCAAACGCAACGTCATAACCAGTCCATAACTGGGGGAATCGAGGGATGGAAATATTTTAGGGTTCTGTGTGGTGTCTTTGACGTGCTACCTTCGAATCCGAAATTAAAGTAGAAATAAGAAATAAAATGAAAAAGGAAGATATGAAGAAAAAATAAATTAATTATATTTCAAGATACAAGTCTTCTACCTGTTATTTAGATGAAATTACATCCCATCATTCAATCTCATATGAGATTACTTCTTCTGGTCAATCTATATTCATATATTTACCTCAACAATCACCAGATTATTTCATTAAATCTTTCTTGTTTTTGTTAATTAAATCTTTCTCTCTTATTTCCCTTGGTATTTTTATTCAAAACTATTTTAATAATTTTCTTGAGTCTTTATTAATTAATTATCTTATTCTTATTACAACTAATAATAATATTATCATCCCTTATTCTCGTGATTTTTTTTGCAATACAGTGTACAATTCATCTTATTTATAAATATTGCTTGTGTTTTCATTTCATGTATTTTCATATATGATAAGTGCTTATTTATTCTCTGAATTTCTAACACAAATGTTTGCCCTTTTGTTGAACTTCCATTCTTCTTTATTCATATTTTCACTATCTCACACTTTCATTATCTCTTCTTCTTTCTATTCTTCATACGTCATCTTTTATATTTTATATTTTCCCTTTACTTTTTCTCTCATTTGATTTATTGTATCATTCAAAAACATAAATGGTCTTATAAAATTGTTATGGCAAAAAATAATGAAAAAATTGCCGATTAAAAAAATATTTAAATTGTCGATTTTTCTTTATATTTATTATTTTCATTGATACTATCCATTCATACTCAAACCAAACTTAACAAACTTCATTTTATTATATTGATGTTTTTTTAT